CCCCAAAACCCCAAAACCCCATGATGCGAGATTTCGATCTTTAAAAGATTATTCATAATAGTTAGAAGGATCCTTTTCAAAATATTTTTAATAAAATATCAATCTAAAAATGGAGTTTTTCTTTTTGAAGTTAGAACTAAGAAACCGAATAGTCAAGAGGCTTGAGAGGAAAATCAAGATTAATGATTGGATTGCTATGGTCTTGGCTTTAAGCGGTACTTTGATTGCAGTTATAGCTGTAAGTGCTAGCTTTTTTATTTAATTAGAGTAACTCGTATTAAATGCCAACAGGGGATGACTGCGCTTTGGAAAATGAAATTGACTTTAGCTTGAGAGTAGGAGTTTACGTTGAAACTGCAACTGTAACTATTTTAAGAACTTTTGTCTCAGTTACGACAATAATTCTTTGTAAGCCTATTTTAGATATTATTAACTTATTCTGCAGTATATTTTATCTTCAGACATTATGAATTAGACTTAGATGTGTTAAAAGCTAAAGAGCATGTTGATCATTATGGTAGGATAGTTAATTGATTATTAATGCTAAATTTAGAAACACTATTTTCATCTGGAAAATACAAATTCCTAATCTCAGAGATTGCTATATGTTTAATCCATTCTCCCCCAAAACTAAATGCAACTTTTGAATTTTACCAAGAAGGAACATACATTATGTATTCGATGGACACTTTTTGCACATTTATCACTTTATTGAGATTTTACTTAATGTGGCGACTGTTTGCCAAGTACTCCACCTGGAATAACGACAAAGCTGAGAAAGTTTGTATGGAGTGTCACTGTCAAAGTGGAACAGGATTTGCCATTAAATGCGAACTTAAAGAGAGACCCTATACTATTATATTCTGTGCGATATCTCTCTCAATTTTTATTTTCGGATTCGCAATGAGAGCTGCTGAATTGTATGCTTGTTTTTTAATTTTAATAGGCCTTATATGCATATAAGTGGTTAAGATTGGACTTACTTGTGGAACTCTATGTGGTGCACTATCATTACAATGGCTACTGTCGGCTATGGAGATTACTACCCATAGACTCATATTGGGAGACTCATCGCTATTCTTGCTTGTGTTTGGGGAAACTTTTTAATTTCACTGATGGTCGTTTCACTTACTATTTCCTCAGAATTTAATCCTTCCTAAAGAAAAGCATATGATAATATTATGAAGGAAATAGGTGTTCAGGAGCATAATAAGAAAGCAATAAGAGTTATTTAGTCCCTATTAAAGTATTGTGTGCTCAGTCGAAAGAAGAAAGATATGACTAAAGAAGAGAGGCTGTAGCACTTAAATAATATCAGGGATAGGATTAAGGATTTTCAATAGCATAGGAAAAAACTATTCGTAAAGGACTAAGAAATTCCTCTAGAGAATTAGTTACTCAGAGTAAACTAGCAAATATCTTTCGAGTTCGACTAAGTGCTTTCTGATGCCAGATCAATAAAAAAGACTATGACTGTATTGTCAAGAGCTGAGGACCTAAATGGAGAGATAGAGGAAAAAGCCATGAAAGTAAGCACGTTAAGCGAAAAGATTCTTAATAAACTTAAGAAGTTTAAGGAAAACTAATTTAGGCCAAGGATATAAGGATTTGACTCTGATTCTGATGCCGAAGGCAATGACAATCCTGGTAACGGTCCTCAAAACAAGAACTTAAAGCCTCAAAATAACTAAATCAAGATAAAAGGTTTGACGAAAGAAAGCAGGTCACCAACAAAGTTCCTCAACAAAATGAATAGTGAAAATGAGGAGGAAGATAATATCGCTCTATTGAAACTAATCAGGGGCGGATACATAGACTAAAATGTAATGGCTAATCTTATCAATAACGTGGTTGCTGGGTTCAATGACGGCTCCAACCAGAGTAATTTGCAGCTGGCATAGTCTAATGGCAATAGTGCTTCTAAAGGTCACAATAATCCTCATAACAGTTAAAGAAAAATGCATAGTCACTAATAAGATGCTAGTCACTAGCAATAATCAGGAGTTATGAATGATGAATGAAAGATAAAGCTATACCTTAAGAGATTTAATTTAATTTCTTAATTGCACACAATAAGTATGCATTTGATCTAAGGGGTTTTGGGGTTTTGGGGTTTTGGGGTTTTGGGG